TTTGAAGCCCTGACTGCTACGTCACATTGGCTGTCATACGGGGGCCACCTCAGCAGCATATAAGGATACGGAGCCCACCATTTTCTCCAGGGGAACTGATCTCTGCCATCTGGAAAGCAGTTGTAATTCTGAGTGATCTCCAGCCCTCAACTGGAGATTGGACACATTTTACCTCAGAACAGCAAAACTGTTTAGAATGTTAGAGGCAAAAGCCAATCAAGTTGCATATGCAAACGACCTCTGTGTTCCGAGGCAGAGGCCAATGAGGCTGCATATGCAAATAATCTGTGTTCTGACTGGCTATGGGGGGGAGAGGAACAGCAAAATGTTTAGAATGTTGGAGGCAGGACTCAGGCAAAGCAGCCAGTGAATAGGGAGACCCTCTGATAGACAGATCAGAGAGCGAACTGATTTTGGAGCGTGTGGAATGTTCTAGAGAAGTGCCACCACCATTCGGCTTTTATTTATAAGGGAGATGTCCATGTTTTTATATCCTGCAAGTTCATAGCTAAGACTAATTGTGGTTAATAAACCGACTTCAAACTGTAATTTTAGAGTCTAATTTCATTTACCCTAACTAGCCATAAGTTATTGGAGTTGCCTGTTTTTTGGACAACTGCACTAACTAGTTATTTCAATTAAAGCATTGTTCTGTGTTAAGTCTGAATTGAGCTTTTGTGTGTGGATGTCAAAGATTTCTCCTGTTTCCAGCATCATAAAAAGCCACTCTGGAGAGTCGCCAACACTCTGGAGTAATTTTTCCAAGCAGTGTGTGTGTAACAGGGGTTGATGACAAGCAGGAAGAACTCAAGATCTCCTAAGCACTTTCTTCTTGTGGTGTGGGTTCTTTGGATTCAAAAGCATATAATTTAATTATTAAAATATCTCCTAAATATGCAAAATAACTGTTCCATTCTGAAAACATCACAAAGTAATAACAATATAAGGTTTCTCCTCTCAGTCTCAAAATATAAAACACATGCATTTCTGCAGTATTATATTTTTTATTAGCATTTCTGACTGAACACGGCTAGTTGTAATTGAATGAAGCACTGTTTTGATACTGGTCTTTTCTAAGCATAAATTTAAATATTTCTTTTCCATATTCATATCTTTAAGACACTGAAAGAAAGCAAAAACACATCCAAAAATACAAGTGTTTGTATTTTCAGAATTCTCGGTCACAAACTCTGCTGTTTGTGTCCCTCACACTTAAACAGGCAGTTGCTCACACCTTACACAGGGCAAAACAGACAACCAACCAACCAATCAAGTAATAACCTATTACAGAGTCTACTTAGTCTACTTAACCAATGAATACCTGATTGTCTTTACTGACCTGTTTTACATTATAGAGAATCTTACAACTCTCCTGTGTCCCTGGACTTTTGATAAGACGAAGAAATGTGGTAAACGTCTCCATACCACCTGTTGGCAGATAGCAGGAATAATCATCTTACCAAACAGCTACATGTAACTAGTAAATGGTTGTGTGTATTCACTCAGTCTTCTAGCTTCAAGCATTTTCTCCTTATACATGCCTGAAAGATGAGAGTGGGGGAAAGAAAACCCAGAGGGCATGGAACAACCAAAATTATTTTCGAGTCTAAATGTTTTCAAGGGGAAAGTTAAATATATCTTGAATTTTTCTGGCTGCAATCAATGGGTCTTAAAAGGCTTAATATTCACTGGACTAAGTACCAGGACCTCTCCTACAAGATCCAGACTGTAGATCAGGTGCTAAAGACACTTAATATCCCTTATTATCTTTCTATTTAATCTTTATATAACATACCCTCTAAATACAACTCAAGAACTTTATAGCATATATTAGAGTATTGTAAATGGGGCCACTGTATTTTAAACTGGTCCATTTGCCAATTCCTATACAATCCATAAAACAATACTAGTTAACGATAATACCTTTTCACTGATAGCACATCATATTAAGATCAGCCAGTAAAACCACCATTAATATTGGTCATGTATTTCAGAATGGTATTTTGCTGAAAAGATTTTGCAAGCACAGAGAAGTCATTACCTCTCTTGTGAAAGTACAGGTCACTTGGCCCAGACCTTTATGAGCTGATCTAATAATAGTATAGCTGCTAATAAATGGTTTAAACAAAGAGTTATATAAAGTATGTCATTAGGAAATATGGATATATTTCCCACCACACATTTCTACTATAGTTTTTTGTGTGTGTGAGGACTAAAAACAAACACACAAAAAGATACACATCACCCAGGGGACCAAACCTAAAACCATCTACTCAGAAGTAAGTCCCATTTTATTCAATAGGCATTACTTCCAGGAAACTTTTCTTAAAATTGAGTTTTAAGCCTATTGACTTCAAGGGTGTAATTCTGTTTATGGTAGCACTGTAAAGTTCTCAAGGCATTGGAAGTGTCTTACAACCATTGTTTTAATTGATAATGTGGTGCTTTTCTGGGTCTTATGGATCTGTTCCACTAATGGTGTTGGTTTCTTGCAAGGATCTGTTCCTTGATGCAAGAGGTTTAGCAGACAATGAAAAAGCCTTTTACACTGGGGGAAGTACTTCCTGCTGGAGGAAAGAGAAATGGATTCACAGGACATAATCTTCTATTGCTGCACATGTTTCACATCACCAATGATGGCTGATCAAACAATGATGCTACACCTTTCCCTAGTTCTGTATATCATGCAAAGAAAAACAGAGTGTCAGTTTTTAGAATTTGCTTTCCTTCAGTATGGAAAATTGTAAAATCAAGGTTTCCATACTGGGGGGAATGACCCCCCTATGTTTTCATTAATTGTCTGAAAATTTCTACAATCATTCTATGTTTGGGAGGGTAGTTGAATGATAGATTTACAACTTTAGCATATAAAAAACAGACATAAAAATGTGCTAATAACAGACCTAAACAGAATTACATCTTTCTAAAGCCCACTGACTTTGATGGGTTTAGGAAGAGTGTAACTCTGCTTAGGTTTGCGTTAGAAACTTCCTTTTTAATTCTTCTTGGATAAGATAACAAGAACCTACATATTAAATCTTTCAGATTGGTAGTTATACATTTATTATAACAGTAAATGAAAAATATTTTTTAAAAAACAAGTTATATTTGATAACTTACATCAACCTTGCCTGGCTTCTTATTAAATCTAATTTTACCCATACTATAGAGAACATATTTTCCTGTATTACTTTCTCAATTTAATTTTATCATACTCCATACATTACCACTATTTTTTGACCCCTGATTCAGACTAGGAATATTTATTTGACTAGCGATGCAATCTTAAACAGAGTTACACCCTTCTAAAAACATTGAAGTCAATAGGCGTAAGTCTGTAATTCTGCTCAGGACTGCATTTCCAATTTCTATATAAAGGGAGACAAGAGTAAACAAGTTTTGAGGCCATAACTGTACAGAGTTGAGTTGCATGGATCTCAGTGTATCAGCAAGGCCAAAGCTATGAGAGAAGACACACCAAAAGGTGACACTGATAATCACGTATACAGTATTTACTTCAGGGATCTGATGTCTACATGTACTCCATATGAAGAGTGAAAATCACCTTCACTACAGAGGGGTTTCAAGGACAATGGAGGCAGTAGAATTTGACCAAGCAGCTTTCTCGCTGATATCACTGAAAGATGCGGGTAGGGGTTGATTGGGGAGAAGGGCCCTGCCGTCTCCAGAGACACTTCTTTGCGCTTCCAGCTATGCACGGTAGATCTGAATCTACTGAGCATGGACACTTACCATGACAAGATCATTCCCTTGAACATACAAGAGATATTCTAGAGCAGAGGTACCAGTTGATGGGAAGAAGATAAAGGGAGCAGGTTGTACATGGGTGAGCCCTGGAAGCAATGCAGAATTAGGCACTGTTTTGGGGGAAGTAGGGTAAAGGGTCTAGTCTCCTCTCAAGTGCAAAACCCTGGGTCATCTTCTTAACACTACCTACTTTCTATAATCAACTAACAGTTATCTGTTGCCTCATTTTTAATTCCCTTTGATCAGTAATCATCCTGTTCTACTGGATCACATCTCCATTTCATGGACTGTTATCTCTCTTTTTAAGCATGTGATTTTTGTGAGGCATTGTGTTCTCCCAGCTACATTCTGGAGGCTAAAGACCAAGACAAATCTCCCAGATTCTAAACGGCACTTATTCTGTACCACAAGAAGAGACCAGTGTTCTCTTCTCTAGTCAAAGGCAACGTACTAGAGTCAATATAAGTAATGTACGTACAGATATATGTGTGTGTGTATAGGTTGATGAAAACATATTTTAAAATCAAATACTGACTATGAAAAGTTACAGGTTTTGACAATGGTTAACAATAAATATATAATCTTATAGAGATGCATGTTCTTTGTCAGAAGGCTGATTATAAATAAAGCATTCTTGAACATCACTAATTTGACTTCATGTTGATATGGAAAGTCTTCCTTCTGCCATTAGACAGCAGGAAGAGGACACAGGGAACAAAACATAAATCATTACTTAATATACAACTTACATCTTATCTACAACTTAACAGGATCATAGGTTGTGAGATTTTTCATCTCCCACATGTGCAAAACGGCATTTCTACTTCTATGGCATAGATGGAAATTCCTATAAAAATATTTGTAATAAAATAGAGAATACATCTGATGCGCTTAACTTTCCACCATTTTTGGAGAGGGTAAAATTAATCTTTTGCATACTATCAAAATCAGTCTACAAACATGAAGTGCAAGAGACTTCCTGGAGCTAGCCCACATCTCTGTTGTTCCTGACATAAAGCTACTTAAATTTATTACCTAAATTGCTGATTTTGGCTCCCTTCTACAACTTGCACATTTTGCATAGAGTACTTAAATAACCTTCATGAGAAGAGCTGCATTTAAGCCACATAAGGGAAGTGTTATACAAAACTTCATAATTCACATGTAAACAAACTTCTTCGTGTTCCCTCTTCTGTATAAACCAAGGGATTGAGAAGTCTTTTGTGGATTGTCTGAGGAAAAGAAGAGCAAAGCAGAACTCCATAACATCTAAAATAAGGTGGTCCCTAGGGAGATGGGCAGAGTGGAGCATCATGCTAGGTATTAAGTCACACTGTCATTATTTTCATGTGTCTTCTTTCAGTTGGTGGTCACACTGGCTTCTTTCTGACGTAGTCTTTCTTTCTGTTGTTTAAGAAAAAAGGAACTTTATATTATCATTTTTTTCTTTAATTTTCCATCTGTTCTCAAATTGCAAAGAGTATGTGGTCTAGCAGACAAAGAATGGAGCTGTCCGAAACCAGAGTAGACAGAAGGCATTTTTTCCCTTAAGAAATTTAACTCCTGAAGTACCACACCACAAAAACTATTCCAAATTTCAATATAAGCATATTTAAAATCTCAGGAAATGTTTTATTTAATTCTGGGACTTTGACCCGCATTCCCACTGGCACTAGTTCACTCCTTTACATACATTCTTGAAAATGCCTCTACTGTGGTTTAGAAGAGTTTTCAAATTAATATTAGGGAATATTGTGATATTTTTTAAAAATCAGTAATGTAAATGCAAACACTAAGGAAGTTTTTTGGGGGAGGGAATACACGTGGCAACAGAAGCAGAAAAATTACAGATGTGATCTGAAGTTCACTGTGTGCAATGCCTTCTCATTCTCTTCCATGCAAAGTGAGGCAATATGATGAATATTATTAATTGTATTTGCTGAGAATACCGATGGTTACAGTAGAGAAGCCTATGCTTGTGTGGAGAATTTAGTGCACACTGTAATTCTTGGACTGCGGCCATTACTGGCAAAAATTAATTGTCCACACCATTCTTTCTTACCAACTGACCAATGATACCATACCATACTGTATCTGGCAATACTTCTAAGCAAAATTTAAGAATTGCTTTTATGCATACTGCTGCTAAATTGAATCCACCCTAATTTGGGTAACCAGTATTCATTGCATCCAAATAAAGCGTAAGAATTTTCCATTTGTCTTCACACATACAAAAAAGTCGCGAGCCTATCCTGCAGAAAATGCAACAAGCGAGACTCATTCATAGATAAACAAAACAGCAAGGGCAGAAAACAATTCCCTATTAGTTGGGTTTTCAGTCTTCTCTTCCTGCCTCAGAAATGTGAAATAAAAGGGACACCTTGGAAGCATAAGACTATAAAAATAGTTTGTGGGATTATTAGGAATACAGGCATTGATGAGTCAGAGAGAAGTGACAAAACTGAGGCAGCATTTGGAGATTATTTTCAGGCATGCTCTTTTTCCCAGCAAGGGACAGATTGAACAAAGCCCCCACCCCCCAGTTTATGAAACTTGGTCAATCATTATTCCACTTGTAAAAAAAAAAGATTTCAAGATATGTGCTTTGAGATTGGAAAGAATATATCAAACTTCTTTTGAATTAAACAAAGATGCATGCTATTAGGTATATATAAAAGAAAGTTGAAGTCAAAGTCACTCCCCAAAACATGTCATACCAGACTGGCAGTGGGATTGATTTTCTTTGTTTCCACCTTCTTTTCTGCAGTTAACTTGTTCACTGATTGCTGAGCCACTTTGAGTCTGAAACAAAACACACATACAACATGTCTGGTTAGAATCCAAGAAATGGCATCTGCTTGGCATATGAAAGCGGCTCTTGAGGAGCACTGCATTTGTAAATGTTCATCCAATGAAAGTTTCTAGGTGAAACCAGACTTTTGAAACACAGTACAATGATTTTACAAGGCCATGTTAAGCAGGTTTCACCTAGTCATCAAATAATTTTGGCACTGGCCAGGACCTCTGCAAATGGAAGTATGTCGGTTTAGGTTGTCATGGTGGCATACCCAAATCTCCATTTTATCCTCACAACAATCTTCTGAGCTACATTAGGCTGAGAGAAACAGTGACTGGTCCAAGAAGATCCAGTCAACTTCATGACAGACTCTGGGTATTTCATCCTGGGTCTCCCAAATCCTAATCCAACATTCTAACCAGTACACTGCACTGGCTTTGAAGTGATATATGGTGAACTGGGGATCAGTAGAAGTGTCACATGAATACCAGATGGCAACATCCCATCCTAGGGTTTTGAAATTATAAGCACAGATTCCCAGGCTTGGTACTCACACTTTCCTGCCAAAATTCTGAACAGTTTCTGTACATCACATTCTCCCCTCAATTATGTAGCAGAGAAAGGATGGTTGTCTGGGCTACTCTGAGTTCATGGTCCAGGTGGTGGCCATTTTGTTTTTGGCTCCCGGCCTTTTTGACTCCATCAGATTCAAGCACCCCCCCCCCCAGGTTATGGAATTTTTGTCCTTGAGTCTTGTAGGTCACAGGTCAGGGCAGTGAAGTCTCAGGGGAGATGCAGAGCCACTACTACTACAGATTTGGTCACCTTTTATCTGGCCCTCTAATGGCATTGTCCTGCTTCCCAGGCATGCCACCCAAGAGGAACAGTACAACTACCAAGTAGCCAGACCACACACTGCCATCGTCATGTGGTCCGAGCACCCAACACAAGGCAGGTTTCATCCACTGACAGGTGGGTCGCCCAATGCCCTATGCTGTGCCAATGCTCCATCAGTTGCAATCAACAAAGCTGTGGCTTGTTTTACTCCACCTGGTTCTCATAGTGTCCTGTGTTCTTTTTCCCCTCCCCACCACCTCTTCCTGCCCCTAGGTCCACAAAAAATCAGGCTACCTATTCCTGACTTTGGGTAAAGCTAGAAAGGACTCAAGATTAACACCATATAATTTAAACAATGTTGGATAATGAGGATAACTTCTGTTTTGGCATCTTGTGGTCCAGGGATAAAACTGGCTAAGAATCCTAGTTAAGCTGGATGCCTGGTTGCCTTAACCATGATTAACACCAATGTGAAATATATTTATGATGGGCGTTTAAAGCAAGTGGGAAAAATTACTACTGGGTAAGGAAGCACTATAGAAGGGAAGCATGTGAGGCCATGGCTTGCACCTGTTATTCTAATTTCAGCTATGAAATCAGGCCTGCTATGTTTGAACTAGCCCTGACCTGAGACCTTATTAGGCTATGAGAGAATTTGGCTCTTCAGTACTGAGAACTGCAGAGGAACACTGAGCCTATTACATTACATACAATTATTTGTTCTGGGATGATCCACCCTCCAAAGAAAACTCAATTTCTCTCTGCATCTCAGACTACCAGAGAGAATTAACTCTGTTTCCATTAGCCCTTGCATTCTTGCATTCTAGCGATTCAGTAAGATGGCAGCTATAGTTTATTGGCTTTATGCTGCATCCATGTCTAGAGATTTTTTTAGAAATTAAATTTCTTGTTCAGAGTTTGGATGTTTGATGTTGCTCTTGGAAAGCTGTTAAATGTCTACAACTTCATTATTCTTGTTTAAGGAAAGAGTTATATTACTTTCTCGTCTCATTTCAAGCCATTCTTATGTAGTATGCTGATAAGAAATATAAAAATACACTATCATAAAGTATTTAGAGATGAAATCTCAAAGACTTAACTTAGTGTATGTGACTAATGTTAGATTTCTTTTTTGAGTCTCAAGAACAAGCTCCAAATGTGCTCACATTACAAAAAAATTAAAACATCTTTTTTGAAGTGTTTCTTTTATCATAAAGTTCTTAATTCTTAAAATATGTTGATGATTTTAGTCACTTCATGTCATGATACAGCCTATATCTCATCAGAACAATCATGACTGTATTCCATTAAAATCATAAACAATGTAATTTATATGGACTTTAGTTATTATAGTTCTTATGAAAAATGTACACTAATTGTTGTTAGTTCACCCAGGTCCTCTTCAAATTTAAAAATAAATTAGGGATATTTATTGTAAAAATGATTAACAGTGTATCAGATAGTTAAAGATTCAACACTGATTTCTGGATACCGATGAAAAGAGATACTTTATGTTACATAAAATGAGTAGATAAAAAATGAAAAATGGCCTTTTAAAATTCTAAATAGCCCTGGAAAATGACAATTGGTAAGTGTGCTCAACGAATGGTTGCACATTCTACCAATGTTACATGCTTTCCACTGAAACCGGAGTTTCTTGCATTGATAAAATGCACCTTGCACCAACAGAATGCACATCTCTTAGGTGTTCATAGGGGCTGGATACTACCTAATGTAAGCATTTTTGTGAATGGAAATAATTAATTGTACAGTGAGAAAAGTTCACTGCATTTATCCTTTTGATCAAATAATAAACTATGCGTAAGAAATTCCTTGGAAATTGTCTGTAAAAGAGAATGGAGACAATAGTTTAAAAATTGTATATGGATGTAGATGCAGGTAGGATGTGGTTATTTTCCCCTGCTTTGATCCTACTTGTGTTTGAATATTAGCTTTCCAATAGCCTATCTCCTTTTAGCCTAGAGTAGGGGTCAGCTGACTGTCATCTTGTATGATGAACAAAACTTTCTTTTAAACTTAGAATACCCAAGATTGAGCACTGTTTTCACTTTTACAAATGAAGAGTACCCACTGAGGGTCTCTTAATTGTTAAGTCTTAACTAATGTGTTCTAATAGTCCCGGGGATCAGAGAAGACATGTAAAAATTACACTAGAGCTTTTCCCCCTCTGCATAATGTTGTATGGGTCCTATAGACTTGGGAAAGTTATTTTGTCAATTTACCATTTGGTTTGGTTTCCATATGGTGGCTAAAAATACTCCCCTGCCCACTTCTGTGGCCAGTTTCTCAGGAAGTAACGATGGTAGAGTCTTTTCAGTAAGAAACACTTCCACCAATTTCAGATTGATTAATTCTTTGCTGACTTACCCAACATGTTATAACTGAACTAAAGTGTTATGGGCATAACACACGCAATAGCAATCAGTACTACAAAAGCTCAAGGGCATTTCAGGATGTGAAGCCATTCAATGAGATATTTCAGTTAAAAAAAACATTAAAAGAACTTTTTCTCAGCAGAAATGCTAAGGAAGGCCAAAGATGTGGTAGCAGTGGCTAGGAGTGCCTTTTATCAGCTCAGAGTCATATACAAATTGTGCTCTTTTCATGAAAAGTCTGACTAGTTACAATAGTCCCACAGTTACAGTCTTCAGCTTGCTCTCTACTTAAAAATGTAAGAAGTGGGGTTACATAGTCCAGCATTCTTTGCAAGACTCCCAGCAACCAGTTGGCCCTAGTATTCTTCTATGAACTGGCTAGCGGTTAACTGCAAGACTAGGGTCTATCTTCTGCACAGCTCTGGCATAAAATTGAAGACTTGTCCAAGACTTGAAATAGTACAAGTTATTATAATAGGAAGAAAAAAAAACACCTTTGAATCCGACACAAAATTACCAATAATACACAACCAAGGTGGCTGTTGTAGAGTGTTAGATGAGTCCACTGGGCATTTTGATTATCACGCTGCTCCTTACAAAGCATCTGTTTTTGCCATAATGGAAGCACTTTCTGAATTGCTTATAGAACAGGCAAGTTATCAAAGGGGTTACTTCAAGCTAAGGCAGGAGGTGAGATTATTAATTTCTGTTCTTGATGGTTCCTATTTTCTCATTTCCAGAAGTACGACATCAAGCTAACACAGTGGTGGTTAAAATGTGTCCAACACATTTATCTATAATTTACTCATCACCTGAATGCAGCATATATTCCCCACTACTAGGTTTGATATTTTTTTCCATTGATCTCAACCACAAAGAATTGTGATTCAAATTAATTAATACATTTAATTGGCAAAGAGAACTTGCTCACATTTATTTCAGTTGCCTTGCATGCAACATAACTTGAAAAAGGTATGACAGAAAGCATAACAGATGCAGATCCAGTCAGGCCAATGTTTTATCCAGCCTAGAAGCCTGCCACCACAGAAAAAGATTATGGATACTTCAGGTCATTTTAACAACCCAATGGTACCATAGCTTGGTTCATACTCCAGCTGCTCCACACTGTGGTGGGACAGAGGAACAGGACCATTCTGGCTCAACAAGCATTTCTGCCTTCATGGGATTTGGAGAATCTGGATATATAATACTCAAGTGGAGCTTCCAGTTCATAGAAATGGTATCTTTACATGATTCCAGGCAGGCTATGAGCACATGCTGGCAGCCTCCCACAGCCTTTCACATTACTAAGGCAACTGACTGCTGGCCACCAGCCTCCAGCAGATGCACCAGTCCTGTTTTGGACCAAAATGTATACAAATGCACATTGCTTTTCATTGCTGCACATCAATTTCAACAGTATAATCAACCAAAAGTTACACTTTTAACTACCATTGGTTTCAGTGGGAAAATAAAGTATGTTGACTCTAATAACAAATTTAGTGGGCCTTAAAAGTGTCCACTAAACAACCATTAATTTAGGGGTGCTATGATTTTCTCAGTGAATCTGTCCAGCAAGTAAGCTTATCTTGTTTGAAACTCATGATCAGACTGTGACCAGTTCTGGGACATGTTCAGATTGGATCAAGCAACTCAAGCAGCTGCTGAATAAATTTTACAGCCGCCTGTTGGTGAGAAGCTGACCAGCTGGGAGTTGGGTTCTTATCCACCCTGCCTCCTCAGCAAAACAGCTGAGGTGGGAAGAAGAAGAC